AGTTCAAGAACTGACACCCAGCAGTTACTGAATTATGACACCCAGCAGTTACTGAGTTATAACACCCAGCAGTTACTGACTTATGACACCCAGCACTTACTGTGTTATGACACCCATCAGATACTGAGTAATGACACCCAGCACTTACTGTGTTATGACGCCAATCAGTTACTGAGTTATGTATGACACCCAGCACTTACTGTGTTATGACACCCATCAGATACTGAGTTATGACACCCAGCACTTACTGTGTTATGACACCCATCAGTTACTGAGTTATGTATGAAACCCAGCAGTTACTGTGTTATGACACCCATCAGATACTGAGTTATGACACCCAGCAGTTACTGAGTTATGACACCCAGCAGTTACTGAGTTATGACACCCAGCAGTTACTGAGTTATGACACTCAGCAGTTACTGAGTTATGTATGACACCCAGCAGTTACTGAGTTATGTACGACACCCAGCAGTTACTGAGTTATGACACCCAGCACTTACTGTGTTATGACACCCATCAGTTACTGAGTTATGACACCCAGCAGTTACTGAGTTATGACACCCAGCAGTTACTGAGTTATGACACCCAGCAGTTACTGAGCTATGACACCCAGCACTTACTGTGTTATGACACCCATCAGTTACTGAGTTTTAACACTCAGCAGTTACTGAGTTATGTATGACACCCATTTTTTACTGAGTTATGTGTGACACCCAGCAGTTACTGAGTTATGTATGACACGCAGCAGTTACTGAGTTATGACACCCAGCACTTACTGTGTTATTACACCCATCAGTTACTGAGTTATGACACCCAGCACTTACTGTGTTATAACACCCATCAGTTACTGAGTTTTAACACTCAGCAGTTACTGAGTTATGTATGACACTCATTATTTACTGAGTTATGTGTGACCCAGCACTAACTGTGTTATGACACCCAGCAGTTACTGAGTTATGACACCCAGCACTTACTGTGTTATGACACCCAGCAGTTACTCAGTTATGACACCCAGCAGTTACTGAGTTATGACACCCAGCAGTTACTGAGTTATGACACCCAGCAGTTACTGAGTTATGACACCCAGCAGTTACTGAGTTATGACACCCAGCAGTTCCTGAGTTATGTATGACACCCAGCAGTTACTGAGTTATGACACCCAGCAGTTACTCAGTTATGACACCCATTAGTTACTGAGTTATGACACCCAGCAGTTACTGTGTTATGACACCCATCAGTTACTGAGTTATGTACGACACCCAGCAGTTACTGAGTTATGACACCCAGCAGTTACTGAGTTATGACACCCAGCAGTTACTGAGGTATGACACCCATCAGTTACTGAGTTATGTATGACACCCAGCAGTTACTGAGTTACGTATGACACCCATCAGTTACTGAGTTATGACACCCATCAGTTACTGAGTTATGTATGACACCCAGCAGTTACTGAGTTATGACACCTATCAGTTACTGAGTTATGTATGACACCCATCAGTTACTGAGTTATGACACCCATCAGTTACTGAGTTATGACACCCAGCACTTACTGTGTTATGACACCCATCAGATACTGAGTTATGACACCCAGCAGTTATTGAGTTATGACACCCAGCAGTTACTGAGTTATGACACTCAGCAGTTACTGAGTTATGTATGACACCCAGCAGTTACTGAGTTATGACACCCAGCACTTACTGTGTTATGACACCCATCAGTTACTGAGTTATGACACCCAGCAGTTACTGAGTTATGACACCCAGCAGTTACTGAGTTATGACACCCAGCAGTTACTGAGCTATGACACCCAGCACTTACTCTGTTATGACACCCATCAGTTACTGAGTTGTAACACTCAGCAGTTACTGAGTTATGTATGACACCCATTATTTACTGAGTTATGTGTGACATCCAGCAGTTACTGAGTTATGACACCCATTAGTTACTGAGTTATGTATGACACGCAGCCGTTACTGAGTTATGACACCCAGCACTTACTGTGTTATTATACCAATCAGTTACTGAGTTATGACACCCAGCACTTACTGTTTTATAACACCCATCAGTTACTGAGTTATGACACCCAGCACTTACTGTGTTATGACACCCAGCAGTTACTGAGTTATGACACCCAGCACTTACTGTGTTATGACACCCAGCAGTTAGTGAGTTATGACACCCAGCACTTACTGTGTTATGACACCCAGCAGTTACTCAGTTATGACACCCAGCAGTTACTGAGTTATGACACCCAGCAGTTACTGAGTTATGACACCCAGCAGTTACTGAGTTATGACACCCAGCAGTTACTGAGTTATGTATTACACCCATCAGTTACTGAGTTATGTATGACACCCATCAGTTACTGAGTTATGACACCCATCAGTTACTGAGTTATGTATGACACCCAGCAGTTACTGAGTTATGACACCCAGCAGTTACTGAGTTATGTATGACACCCAGCAGTTAGTCAGTTATGTATGACACCCATCAGTTACTG